TTCACCTGTTTACATAGATATACCTCCAACGTAGATAGAACAAAGCTGTAAGAAAATACTTTTTTTAGTGTCTACTGAAATGTTATCAATCTGATTAAAATGATTCCAAAGAAATTCTAATGTTTTATCATTTGGTTACATTTTGGGAAGTGGGTTTTGTCGAATACTCTCTCGGTATTTTCAGTATTTTAACACAATCACTTTATAACTTTACATCAATGATTTCGGTTTTTTATCTATCTGATAACAGAATATTGTTTGCAGTCATATTTTTAAAAAAATTGCTTCCGACTTTATTTCTTTTCTGCCTTTTATTCATTTTTCTTTTTCCATGTTTCATTGTTAGGATGAACTTTTCGCTATGGTTCCTACACTTTATGAATTAAAGCACAGTACTAGATTAGCAACAACGTCCCATCAGTTTACACTTGAATTGGCTAAAATTTAACCGTAATTTCTATGCTAACAATTTCTTTTTTCGAAGTGAATCAATTGTTAGGTCTGCTGCTAGGAAAGATGGTTCACTGTGTCGTGCTAGAGAATTTTCTCTCCAGAATCTGTCATTCGTCTATGTTTTGAATATTGATACAACATATGGTCTGCTATATATTTAGAGATTCATGATAAAACTTAAAGAAGAATCTGCAATATTATTGGTCCTGACTTGACATCTCGGTTTCAGTTACTTTCCACCGCTTCCCTGTGTCTTTTCTATAAATATTTTCATGGTAATTGGTCTGATGAACTTTTCTCTATGTTACCTAGTGTGGCACCATGCATAATTAGGAAACTGAAAAGAGATATTCATAAATATATGATTTATTTTTTTCGGTTTGTTAACCATTTGATAGTTATTTAGAGATGGAAAATATTTCGGAGTTGAGAATAATTCTCTAATTGCGTTCGGGCGATCTAGAAAGAAAGAAAGAAAGAAAGAAAGAAAGGGAAATGAAGAGAAAAAGAAAGAAAGAAATATAATACGCAAACCGGTCATAAGCACACACGCTCAGCTGACACATTACAGGTGTCAAAAGATATCTAGGTCAAAGTACCTGACCGAAATCCACGAAAAATGGAAGTTTGTTATATTTGGTTGAAGAAATAAAATTTTAGGGACAATGAAAAAAAAATAATGATAAGTAACAAATGAAAAGGATGTCACTGAGATGATAGGTAACAGATGGGGAAGTTTATCTAAGGATATACAGACAATCCATTAATACAAGAACCCAGACAATTTCTAGAGTTGAAAATAAAACCACCCAAGATGATGATTAGAAAATGTTTTTTTTTTTTTTAGATAATTAAGATTTTGTTGTCAAGCTCCGAGCGAAGGGAAAAAAAAAAGAAATATTTTTATTAGTTCACGTTAACGCCACCCAAAGTGATGTCGTTTTTTTTGAGATAATACAGATTTTATTATCGGCCGGAGGAGAATGAAATATTTTGTTAGCTCCAGAGAGACGTCGACAGGTCTAAGAAAATCCCTTTCTTAGATCGTATCCAATTAGCGGTAGGCTGTTTGACAGATACCGCGTATGAAAGAAACCGATAGCGTCATTCGATCTGGTACGAAAAGGGCAATTTAAATTTTGTTTTTTTAGCAAGGTGTTTCTTCCCCCAGAACAAAGCCACGGATTGTCCACGCCCGATTAGAGAAGTCACGAAGGAAGGAGGAAAGATACCGACCAGAGTCTCATTGGCCGAGGGCGGTCACGTGATACATGAGGGAGGAGGAGAGACACCCGACCAGGACCCCATTGGCCGAGAGCGGTCACGTGATGTGCGAGGGAGGAGGAAAGATGCCCGACCAGGACCCCATTGGTCGAGAGCAGTCACCTGACATACGAGGGACCAGGGGAAGCGGGTATACGCCTCCCCGCAGAGGCACAGTAAGGAAGTAGGAGTGAAAGTAAGTTACCGATAATGGAAAATCCCTAATCAGGAATAATACGTCTTTAGAATTATCAAGAAAACCCTGGCGCCGACAGACACACCCCAGTTTTTGACTGCCTCAATAAAAGCAGGACCCCAATCGACAGAAATGAGTTGCAGGGCGGACGGCGAGAGAGAGTTGCAGAGCGGACGGCGGGCCCTGTTCATTCGCCCCTTTGCGGGCAAGGAAGGCCGGTCCGTTTGGCCCGGACAGGCAGAGAAGTTGCAGCGCTGACGGCGGAGACGAGTGGACAATAATTCAGACTCTGAAGCCGAAGAGAAGAAGTTAAAGTTGGGGTTGCGCCTCGGAAGAAGAAAAGTTGGAGTTGCAGCGCGGACGGCGGGCCTTGTTCATTAGTCCCCTTTGCGGCAAGAAAGGCCGGTTCGTTTGGCCTAAGAAGAGAAATTCGTCCAACCCAAGTCGAAGTGAAGAAATTCGCCCAACTCAAGCCGAAGTGAATAAGCTCGTCCAACCGAAGCCGAAGAGAAGTTAGTTCGCGCACTGACGGCAGAGATGAGTGAACAATAGTTCAGACTCTGAGGAGAGAGTTAGTTACAGCCACGGACGACGAGAGAAATCAGCCGTGAACGACAGGTAGAGATCAGCGCCCAGTGTTGAAACCAAACCACACCCCGAAATGCAAATTTCTAGAGAGCAGGCAACTCGAAGCCTTAAAGTTATATGGTAGAAGCTTGGTACCACAGTCCACAAAACGGGTCGGGAGGTAGGAATAATCTTGTGTAACGAACATTTAGATATAAAAAGTTGTTACCTTTTTCTTCAATAATTTTTGACCTTGTGAGTTTTTCTTTTCTTGTGTGTTATCACCCCGTTGGACTCAGCTTGCATACGGCCCCAATCCCCGTTTGATCCCGTCTGTCTAAGATCTAATCACAACGTGGGTAGGCAGACCGGAGATCAGTGCAGTTACCCTAGTAACCAGGCGTTGGAAGCGAGTTGGGAACGACGAGGCTGGTATTCATCTAACCAAAGGGTTAGAACGTCACACTTGGAGCAGCGAGGAGCGAACAGCTGACGCCGCGGCAAAGACGTCACAACTGGTGTCGTGACCATAGGATCGGAACCCTGGACCACGTCACGTCACAGTTGGCGCCGCGAACGAGATCGAACGACAGAGTCGACGCTGCGACCAGTGGGGATCACGTCACACTAGACTATGAATTTAAGTGCAGTAAAAGATTGGCAGAAATATATAATTTCACAGCTGAAGTGACGAGATGTAACCGTAAGTTCTATGCTAACTGCTTCTTTTCTTGTACTTCTCGCTTGTGGAACTCTCTTTCGGTGTCTTGCTCTCCAGACAACTTTGATCTTCAAAAATTTAAATACAATGTCAATCGTTATCTACTCTCTTTCTGATTACTCTTATATATTGTTCTAGCTCCTCAAAAATGCTTCTGTTTTCTCATTCTTTCACACTCGGTAACCCCTCGTGGCTTTGCTGCCTTACTTGGGGTGAATTCGATTTAAAAAAAAATAAAAGTCAAGTGATTCTTATACATAAAATCAGAAGAAAAGAGGGTTCGGAAAATGTGACACTCATGGGACATACTGAAGAGAGGATGCGAAAAAAAAAACATTGAGTAACCTCAGAAGTTGAGGCATTTATTTAAAGACATTTTACGATTCTCAACCGTGCTTTTGTTCGCACTTTTCTCCAGAGCTCAATCAGGAAACACAAATTATTATCGTTGGTTTAAGTTTTTATTTGACCGATTTTATGACTACATTATTCTTTTGTTTGTCTCTATTCTTTCCAGGACTACAACGTTCCATTTTTTGATAAACTTAATTTTTAAAGATTTCTTTACTTAAATTTAAAAATAAATTCTTATTCTTTTACCCATCGAATGATTTTTTGATTCTCCTTTTTTATTGCATATTGAGAAGAATTCCACCCCACCCAGTTATTAAGGTCTCTTCTCGTATTAGGCACCTAAGAGTAATAACTGTTTTGGTAATAAAAACAGAGTAAGGCCAAAGAAGGATGATAACAAGGGTTAAACATTGCTTAAAGCTACATGGTAGAGGGGGTTGTGGACAGCCATTCTACGAAACGAAAACAACAACCTGAAAATTCAAATCATGTTCTCAAATAGCTTTACCAGATCGAGACTTTCATATGGATGCCATGGATGGCACCAAATCCGTTCAGAAATATCTAAACTGTCAGCTGTATATAATCGCTTCCTGCGATCAATGGTGAAAAAAAAAAGCTTTGAGCGAGTGAAGCCTGTGGGTCTTGGTAAATATCATCCTTCATTGTCAACTGGCGATGCAGAATCACAAAGAACTGTGTACCATATAACAGAAACCATATCACTTGAGGACAACCAGTAACAACTAAAATGGATAGCAAATCAAACTCAAAGAGAAAATAATGGTATAATCAAGATGTTAACATTCTACTTCAAATGGTAAGAAAGAAACACATCCTCATCAATACTAGAAAGAGTGATAACAGCTACTGGGCTTGAGAAAAATGCTTTCCATCGTTATCTACTAAATCTTTTATAAATTTCAACTGACAACAGTATTGGCTGCTTGGTCAATGAATACGAGCTCTTCGCTATGGTACCTAGATTTTATGAATTTAAACGCAGTACTAGACTGGTGTCGAGATCTCATCAATTTACTGTTGAGCTGGCGAGATGTAGCCGTAAGTTCTATGCTGACAGTTTCTTCTCTCGCACTTCTCGCTTGTGGAACTCTCTTCCGGTTCCATGATTTTCACTCAACTTTAATCTGCAAAAATTTAAAGGCATTGTCAATCGCTATTTACTGATTACTCTTTTCTCTTTCCGCTCATCATTAATGTCTCTGTTTTTAGTGGTTTTATTGCGTTGCTTGGGGTGATACCGATTTAAAAAAATGTTTCCTTGTAAGGAAACATCTAATGTTACCATTTCCATTATCATTCCCTGTTTATTTGTCATTTTCTTCCTGCTGTTTAGTTTCTGAATTTCTAAATTCCTCTTGATTCTTGTCTTCTCTACTTTTACACTCTTATCTATCTTCGTCCAATTCATCTTTCTACTCCCTCATGCTTTCATTATCTCCATCTTCCTCTCTTATTATCGCTCATTTTATTCTGATTTTCTTTACTTTCTCTTCCTCTCTATTTTGCTTTTCTCTTTGTTACTTCTTTTATTTTACTTTCTTCTCTCCTCTTGTAGTTCTTGGCATATTCGTGAAATCTACTTTGTGGCTGAAACAGTCATAAATTTGCTGCAATTCTAGTGGGGATAAAAAATTATCTCGATACAATGCATTTAGCTGTTCTCTACTTGTAAGGTTACTACTTCCTAACTTTTATGTGCTCTTTCTAGATGGGGATGATGTTGACTCTCCACAGCTTCCTGTCTTTTGTTCCTCTAATTAATTTTCGACCATTTACTATTCCTCTTTGCCTCTGTTCTGTTATCTATCCATATAAACGCATTATGTAGATTACTCGCTGTTTCTCTTTGCTTTTCTTGCTTTCAATGTTTTGTGAGTGTTAAATTCTCCTAGCCCTCTTTCCTTATTATGTATTCCAGAAATTTAATCTTTTCTTTTTTATTGTAAGTATAGATTTCCTTGTTCCTATTTTACTTACAACTTCCTCGTTGTTCATATATTCTGTCCATGGTATTCCTAGGTGCTTTTAAAACCCATAATGTCCACCAACTCTCTCTCTCTCTCTCTCTCTCACACACACACACACACACAAACACACACACACACACACAGAGGTGGAAATTAATTTTTGACCCCAAGAAGTGACTCATGTATAAGTCTCGTTGACGTCTATAAGTTGCTTAAGGCAAGTCCTACACGACACAAAATTACCTCGACACTAGCTTTTGCTCTACAGTGTCAGTGCTAATTTAACCCACCCTGTTCATGCCGATGGGTTAATTCATAATATTCAAACCCGGGTAAGGTTCAGAATTTCGAGATTTTCCATATATCGTTGTTTCTTTCCTAAATTTATTTATTTATTTTCTATGTCTTTCTCATTCAATATTTAATTCTCTTTATCTCAATCTACACTTTTGTTTCTGTCTTATTTTCTTCTCTTTTTCTTCTCTGCTTCTCTCAATTTGTCTGCTGTGCTGTTTTTATATTTGCATCTTAACTTCTTTTCCTCGTTTTCTTTCTCATCATTTTTATGTTTTAGCCTTAGCCATACAACATTAAAATGTCCTGTCTTTTGGTCGCATTTAAATCCTCATATTTGCAATGGTTAAATGGTGGTTATGATAATGGGGAAATTATCCGTTTCCACGGAAGAAACATTTGGCATTTATAGAACGAGCAGGTACTTATACTGTCAGTTGAAATTTATAAAACCTTTTTCTTAAAGCTGTTTTTATCGAAGTTAGACATCTCAAGTCCATTAACTATTATGGCTCTTTCTAGTACTGATGGAAGTTTCCATCCAAAGCCTTTGTGTAAATTAGTGTAGAAGTCTACATTTAGAGTATATCATTATTTCTCCTTCTCATTTTATTGTTATTGTTGTTGAAAGAATTTAGTGTTGTTTTTTTTTCATTTGTTAAAGCTATTTGTGATTATGTACCGCCAGTCTATAGGGCTTGATGAAAGAATATGTACCGCTAGTCTATAGGGCTTGATGAAAGATTATGTACCGCCAGACTATGAGAATGGATGAAAGACTATGTACCGACAGTCAATAGGGCTTGATGAAAGAATATGTACCGCTAGTCTATAGGGCTTGATAAAAGATTATGTACTACTAGTCTATAGGGCTTGATAAAGGATTATGTACCGCTAGTCTATAGGACTTGAGGAAAGAATATGTACCGCTAGTTTATAGAGCTTGATGAAACATTATGTATCGCCAGGCTATAAGGCTTGATAAAAGATTATGTACCGCTAGTCTATAGGGCTTGATGAAAGAATATGGACCGGTAGTTTATAGGGCTTGATGAAAGATTATGTACCGCCAGACTATAAGGTTTAAAGAAAGATTATGTACCGCCAGTCCATAGTGCTTGACGAAAGATTATGTACCGCCAGAATATAGGGCTTCATGAAAGAATATTTACCACCAGTCTATAGGGTTTGATGAAATATTATGTAACGCTAGTCTATAAGGCTTGATGAAATATTATGTACCACCAGTCTATAGGGCTTGATAAAAGATTATGTACCGCCAGTCTATAGTGCTTGATGAAAGATTATGTACCGCCAGACTATAGGGCTTAATGAAAGATTATGTACCGACAGTCTATAGTGCTTGATGAAAGATTATGTACCGCTAGTCTATAGGGCTTGATGAAAGATTATGTACTTCTATATGGCTTGATGAAAGATTATGTACCGCCAGTCTATAGGATTGTGAAATTATACCGCTAGTCTATAGGATTGAGACTAAAAGATTATGTTCCGCTAGTCTATAAGGCCTGATGAAAGATTATGTACCGTCAGATAGGATTGATAAAAGGGTCTTAATGAAAAGATTATGTACCGCCAGTCTATGAAAGATTATGTACCGCCAGTCTATAGGGCATGATAAAATATTATGTACCGCCAGTCTATAGTGCTTGATGAAAGATTATGTACCGCCATTATATAGGGCTTGATGAAAGAATATGTACCGCTAGTCTATAAGGCTTGATGAAAAATTATGTACCGCCAGTCTATAGTGATTGATGAAGGATTATGTACCGCCATTATATAGGGCTTGATGAAAGATTATGTACCGCCAGACCTTAGGGCTTGATGAAAGATTATGTACCGCCAGTCTATTGGGTTTGATAAGATAGATTATCTTCTTTAAGATTCAAATGATTAACTCGCTTGAGGCCATTTTTATTTATTTTTTTCGAGAAAAGATATTAATTTAATGACTGTCCGGATATCGGACAGTTTACAAACTAAGCAAACACTTTTTGCAATTTTCTCGTAAATATCGCGATCAACTCAAATTTTTTCATTTTCTATCTACAATATATTTATATCTCTTGTGTCTCTTCATTTTTTCTTTTTCTAACATTCTTCTTTCTTTCTTTTACTTTTTTCTTTACTTTTTCTTTCTGTCTTTTTTTGTGTTATCGTTCTTTCTCTTTTTTTCTATTTTTTCTTTCTTTCACTATTCTTTCTTTCTTTTTCTATCTTTCTTTTTTTTCCTTCTTCTTTCTTTATTTTCATTCTTTTTTTCTCTCTTTCTTTATTCTTTATTTTGTTTTTTCTTTCCTTTTTCTTTTTCTTTCTTTTTCTTACGTTTTCTTTCATTCTTTATACTTCCTTTCTTTCTTCTTATTTTATTTTTCTTTTCTTTTCCATTATTTATTTTTCTTTTGTTATATAGGAATAAAGTGTCATTGGAGTTTGAACACGGATCGCCAGATTGCAAACACAGGCGATCCCATTTTGAATAAGTAGATCACATGATAGCATAGGAAATGCATATATGTGACGTCTAATTGATCAACTTTTCTACTCTAGCCTCTAATACTATACGGATTGCTATTCTCTATACTATTCTCTATACTATTCTCTATACTATTCTCTATACTATTCACTATACTGATCCCTACACGGATTACTGTTCGGTAGTTACATTTCGAGTGAGTATTATCGAGCAAGTACTATTAGTGCGAGCGTTATTCGAAGGCATCTGACACCAGTATTGTTCAACGGCGTTACTATTATTGTATCTGCGATTACAAAGTCTCTACTACAACGAGTATTACGAAAGTGACAATGAGTATTCGTTGACATCACAAAATTTTCCTTTTTTCGTTCCTTTGTCTGTTTTTTCTTTCTTAATTTTTCTTTCCTTCTTCTTTCGTTCTGTCCTATTCTATTTTCTTTATTTATTCTTTCTTTATTTTTATTTTTCATGTCTTTCTTTCCTTTTTATTTTTTCTTTCTTTATTCTTTATTCCTTTTTCTTCCTTCTTTCTTTCGTTTTATTTCTTCCTTTTAATCGTTTCTTTCTTCTTTTTCTTTCTTTTCTTTTCTTTCCTTTTTTCTTTGTTTCCTATTCTTTCTTTTTTCATTTTTCTTTCTTTTTTCATTTTTCTTTCTTTTTTCTTTCTTTCTTTTTTCTTTCTTTCTTTCTTGCTCTTTCTTTTCCTTCTTTATTCCTTTTTTCTTTTTTATTTCTTTTTTCTTCATTCTTTATTTATTTCTCTGGTTTCTCTTTTGTTTTTCGATCTCTCTTTCTGTATTCTTTCTTTCCTGTTTTATTCTTTCTTTTTTCTCTATTTTCCTTCTTTTTCATTTTTTTCTTTCTCTCTTTATTCCTTCTTTCTTTATTTATTCTCTTTCTTTTTTTCTTTATTCTGTCTTTCTTTTTCTATTTTTCCTTCTTTCTTTTTCTGCCATTTTTTCTTTTTCTTTCCTTTTTATTTCCTTCCTTATTCTTTCTTACCGTTTTTTTTCTTTCTCTTTCCTTTTTTCTTTCTTTCTTTTTCGTTCTCTTTGGTCCTTTCTTTTCCTTTCTTACTTTCATTTTTCTTATTCTTTCTTTCTTTTTCCTTTTTTTCTTTCCCTTTTTTGTTTCTTTTTCTTTGTTTCTTTTTTCTTTCTCTTTCGTTCTTTTTTCTTTTTCTTTCTTTTTTCTTTCTCTTTCCTTTTTCTTCCTTTCTCTTTCTTTCGTTTTTCTTTTTCTCTTTCTATTTCTTTCTTTTTCTTTCCTTTTTCTTTGTTTCTTTATCTTTCTTTCTCTTTCACCCTTAATTTTTTCTTTCTTCCACTTCCTTTCATTCTTTCTTTCTTTCTTTCTTTTTTCTTTCTCACTTTTGCAAAACTGACTTGTATTTATCGTTACAATCAAAAGCTGAGTGAATAAAATTATGGTCACATTAAAATTGAAATACTCCTGGATATAAAAATTAAATTCAAATAAAACTCAATGCAAATCTAGTATCTGCATTTGGTTCCAAAGAGGAATAAGCTAAGAATCCTGTTCCACGTAGGACGAGTTTTCAGCTGATATCTATTATACATGAATATCTATAATATATCATACATGATATCTATAATACATGATTTGTGGAACAGGCTCCTGCATGGATGCTTCCTCGAATATTACAATCTTCAAATCTAGGGTAAGTCGTTATTTATTAACCATATCTTTACCTCCCCTTGCGTCCATATCACCCACCTCATTCAGTAATTCTCTGCCTTTAGTGGCTCTTGGTTCATATATTGAATAAATGTCAGTAAAATAAAAATTTATTAAGAGTACTCGTTATCAGGAAGAAATTAGTTTACTAATGTTGCAAATCATTGGTAGTGAGTCCTATAAGTTGACTTAGCACAGTAAATACCTATTCGCAGAATAGCGCGGGAAAACAGAAATTCCTGAGCCTTTCAAAAGCTAACCAAAGTAATAAGAAATAGAAGAATTTCATTAAAATCAAAGAAATGTGTTGAAATGCTATCGAATATAAATAACCCTATATGAAAGTGACTGCTTGACAATCTTCTCATATTGGATAAAAAAAGACTAGAGGAGACATATATGTGGTTCCACAGAAGGAACTGAACATGAGTAACGAGAAATTTTTAAGGAAAATGGCAACAAAAACGGCACGTAATGAAAAAGAAACAGTTGAAATTTCTGGGGCATAATGAGAATAGAGTGCTTGGAAAATATGAGAGGCACAAATATAATTAGGGTAAGAGTCATAGTTGGTGGGGGTGATTAACCTAAACCGATGAAAGAACAGGGAGTGATGGTAAAAAGAAAAAAAAAACAATTAAGAGGTACAAAGGTTAGGAAGTTGAGGAGATCCATGAGAACCCAGGTTCTGAAAGAACACGACACATAAAGGATAACATATCATTCTTAGCAGTCAGTGGTGATAGTCATTAAATAATTTTTATGACATTTGATTCCATGAGAATAAGGGGAAAATAACATGGTAAATGTCTGGTGGGATATTGCTGGAGTTGGCAAATTTCATGAGAATAAAGGGAAAATAACATGGTAAACATATGGTGAGATATTGCTGGAGTTGGCAAATTCCATGAGAATAAGGGGAAAATAACATGGTAAATGTCTGGTGGGATATTGCTGGAGTTGGCAACTTTCATGAGAATAAGGGGAAAATAACATGGCAAATGTCTGCTGGGATATTGCTGGAGTTAGCAAATTCCATGAGAATAAAGGGAAAATAACATGGTAAACATCTGGTGGGATATTGCTGGAGTTGGTAAATTTCTTGTAATACGTGTAAAGAAGATTGGAACAAGTCCGGAGGAATTCTGTCCGATTTCCACTACAGCGATTGCTATCATTATTCTATCAACCACATCCTCTCTTTACTTCCATTTCCACTTACGTTTCTACTCATTCCTTCCCGCTCAATCTCTTTTTATTTTCTAGACCTTGGCTACATATCCACTCACTCACTCACTCACTCACTCACTCACTCACTCACTCACTCACTCACTCTATACCACCAAACTACTCTCCTTCTCATCAGTTTTATGCCCACTCACTTTTTGCGGCCACCACTCCAATCCCACTTCTTTAGCTTTTTATATTCACACTCTTACCGTTCGACTGCCACTGGAGGGCGGTGTGATCGATCACTGTTACCATGACTACTTTATTACGCTGACAGACGTGGAGCGATTCAACGCGTTCGCATCTTTCCTCTGTCTCCTTTCCCGCTTTAATTCTTTGATGGCTCCCTTTCTCCATTTCGCGTTGCTCCTTCTTTCATACATCTTAATATGGCAGCTTTCATTCTCAATAAATCACTTTATATCGGGATATGTGGGCGCGCGTAATATCTCTCTACTTCTCTCTATCTCTCTCTTTCTCTCTCTCTATCTTCCTATCTCTCTCTCTCTCTCTCTCTCCATATATATATATATATATATATATATATATATTTAATAGTCTCATGATAAAATATGTATGTTTGTATATTTTTGCTAATAAGTATTTTAGGCAATACTGCGTATTGACATGTACATTGAATATTACATAGATATATTTTGTTTTTGTCTTTCGATGGAATTACAAGCGTCTAGCTTTAACTACATTCCAAAGATCGCATTTTAATTGACTAGACGCTGCAACCAATGACACGCTAGAATCGATATTACACCGACTACACTTTTCCGTATAATGAAGAAGGTGCTGCCTCAGGGCTGGAATCTCCGGGTCTACTTTTTATAGCTGTCATTTCCGGTCGCTTCTTTTAATCGTTGAGACTGGTGCATTTTTGCTTATCGATTGTAACAAGAAACTAAACGATAACTTTGACGTATAGTGATTTCTGTATTAAAAGGTTTAAAAAAAAATATGCAAATGAAATGAAAAAAAAGATTAGTGACGTTCTGCGAGGAAGAACTGCAAATATTCAAACGTATTAAAATGGTTTGTTAAGTTTCGGGTCAGAAATTGCTCATTGAATACGGTCGGGTTTGGATTGACAGCAATCCCGTTACCTGGAGATATGGAGATAATGACCTTTTTACGATACGTGAGATAAGCTAACATACTAAAATATGTCAATCTAACGTTGGAAATTCTTTAACCTTTTTTTCCACTGACAGAACCAGTATGTATGTTTGTAATATTCATATATTTTGTTGGCAAAATAATTAATTCTGTTAAGTTAATTGTTAAGTTTGCTGCTAGGGAAATTCTCGACAATATCTATCTTGCAAATTTATGTTTACCATTCATGTGTGCATTGAATATTGCTGACACATCTAGTCTGGTGCTTCTGATTTATATGTAGAGATTCTTGAGAAAATCTAAAGAATCGCTAACGTTATTGGTCCTCACCTGGCATTTCAGCTTCAATTCCATTTCAACCAACATAACGTAGGTTCCCTTTGCTTTTTCTATAAATATTCACGCTAATTGTTCTGATGAGCTTTCTTCATTGATACCTCGCCTTCACGAATTTAAGCATATTACTAAATTAGCAGTAAAGTATTCTTGCTTGTGAGACTCTCTTATAGCTTCCTGCTTTCTTGTTAATTTCCATCTTGAAATATTTAAATGTAATCGTCATTTTCTGTCTCATTGAAACCTGTTCTTTTATTGTCCTCTCTGTTTTTTTTTTGTATTCTTAGTAATCGCTTAAAAGAGTACTGAACAGTTAATGTGATATCAGTACTCCTATATAGCAGTGAATACAGGACAAAGATGAAGAAAATACTAAAACAGAAAGATGATTCTACAGAAAGATGCTGTTTCAAAAAGGCGAAGTTTCAGAGAAAATGGAAACAAAAATGTAACATATACTTAACATCAGAAAGAGACAGTTGAGATTTCTGGATTACATAATGAAGAAAGAAGGCTTAGAAAATTTGATACTCACAGGACAGATTGAAGGGAAGAGTTTGCCCATCTTACCTTCAACTGTCAAATGGAAAACAACGTATAACCTACTTAGCGAGTTTGAGTAAATGGATGGCAGAACAAGGTTTAGGAGAAATAACAAAAAGACAAAATTTATTAAGAGCTACAAACTACTGGAAATTGTGGAGAGCCATGATCGCCTACGCCTTAAAGGGACATGGCACATAGAGAAGAAGACAAACCCCTTGCATCGTAGTGACTTTTATTGTGTTACACAAGTGAACTGTTTAAAACAAAAACTAACTCAGTGATATTAGTCTCTTCGATGTGTAGCATACATAAAAGAGAAAAACAGAAGTACTAGCTTGTGCTTCGTTATTTAACACAACAAAAATGTTCCATTTTTAAACAAATTTTGTCGGGTGATGAAAAGTGAATAATTTACAACTTTTTATTTTATATGCGAAGGCCAGAATGGTCAGCGATTGGCCGAAGTACCTTGTGGGTATGGTATTCCGACAGTGGTGGATTACCTTGTCTGGGTTTTGAATATGTCCAAAACGGCGCGAATTCCACAGAGAGTCTCGAGAATTCTGAAGCGTCGATACGGCTCCCACACCCAGCTTATAGACCGGCTAATCCCACGCGCGGAGGGAGGCTGAGACAATATGCGACATGCGTTCCTGGGATGTCACTCCTCATACAGCCTCTTGGAGTACAAACTGCCACGATAAAACGAATAACTAAAAGAAATGTCCCTTTTAGTTGATACCGTTTTATGTAGTGTATGGATCCAGAGATGACACATTACCCAACATACTGTAGCCCTCTCTATTGTGGCGTATCTGAATGACTTTTATAATATTCACTAACTTTTTTCACGTCGGAGATACGGCGAGTAACACATTTGTATACTTTGTTGGCAAGTTCTCTTTATAGAATATAAAATCATTTATACTCTTCTAGTTTATCCTTACCCATCTTTATTATTATGGTTATTATTATGATTATTACAAATGTTTAGGTGAGTATTTTGAACAAAATCCTTTCATTCATGTCGGTATTGTAGCTCCCGCAACACAGGAAATAAAGATTGCTTGTTTTTTCAACACAATGTTGACGAAACTTCAAGCTTTAACCAATTTCTTTAGATAAAATCTTCAACTGACACTTATTGAAGATTCTTAACTTCTAAAAGTGAATTGATCTGTAATATTTTAGATTCAACTGACAAAACATTATCATTTATACACGCCAATTAGTGACGCGGATTTCGAAAAAATTTGCATTACAGTTTATTACAGCAGCAAGTGCTTGGCCAAAATGGTCGAAGAAGAAAATGGTCGAGGAAAATACCTCGATAGCTCGAATGAGTCTTCTGCATTGAAATTAAACTGATGGCAGTTGATGGCGGAGTGACTCGAAAATGAACTGTGTGTTGAAATTTTGTGAATCTATTGTGATTAGTCCAAAAGTATT